ATAGATGCTGGGTTGTTTACAATCATAGCATAGCCGTTGTTGTTCTTCCAATACTCCTATGGCTGGGGAGTTTCGCTACATCGATCTTCATCATATATCTGGAGGCTAGCGCAAAAAATCCTAAAGTACTACTTACCGGAGGACTTTCCCAAATCACACCTAGTATCACTGCGAGTTGGTCAATGTCATTAGCCAACAATATCATCACCACTGGTATGAACTTCTTCATGACATTCTCATATGTGCATTGCAATCTGAATTCTATCTCTGATAGGCTTGCTTGTCTATCGAATATGGCGTGTGGACAGATCCAACACTCAGAACGGTATCTGGCAGGGACAGGAAACAACGATGTCCATACAGGGGAGTGACCAATTTTCCAGTCACACAAAGCGGCGTAAAAGAACTTCGAAACTGCAAGAGGTCATTCGAATTATCATCGAGTCAGGAATGATGTACACCACCATTGCTTTGATCTCATTTATCACCTTCGAGATTGGGAGTAGCTCAGCTTATGCAACTTCTGATGTGGTATGTATAGTTCAGTCTTCTTCCTAAACTGCTATTGACCCAGAGGACTGCCCAAAAAGGAGCTTCAAATCCTGTCAATCGCGTTCAACCTCATCATCATCCGGGTCAGTGCTCGGCCGAGTTGGAACTCGAGTAGTCAGAGGCCAAGTGCCCAATTCGCCTCACCACGAGTATACCCGCTGCACAATCACCTTCCTGTTATAACTTCAGGGACAATTGACACTGAGCTTGAGTCTGTGGGACCATCTTTGTCGGATGGGCGAGGTAAATCAAATGTCTCGAATATTGAGGCCGGAAACTGGGTAGCTACAAGCGAGCGGTGAAAGCATGAGCTCTTGTAGACAGTTTTGCTGGAATACAATGGTATTATCAGAGAATGTATATTATGGTATTTGGACAAGCCTTGTCGTTGACAATCATGATTATTAGTAGCCGTGTTTCGAAAGAATGATAGATCTGGAGAAAAGATGGGCGTAACATGTAAGGTACCGTCGAAGAACCGTATAGCGTGGGTCGTGAGGATAGATGACAAAAGAATTCGAGATGAGATCAGCAACGCGTACGTGTTAGCATTGGATGGAGAATGGTTGGCAGCGCTTGAATCCAGAGTGAAAGCTCAGAGCGACTCGTTCTGTTGATCAGTGGATGATCGCTTGACGTTAATGAGCCCAGTGAATTCTGGGAGAATTAGTCGGAAAGAGCTAATGATGAGTCGAAGAAAAATTGTATGGCGGCAGTTTTGAGTAGATGGGTTCTATGCACCTCTACGCCATTCAATGGTCCTGGTGCGGTTGCTGGTGAGAGTCGAGAATGAAGCGATAAGCGCCCTCAAGCGCCGGTGAGTTGTAAACGCGTTACGCGTAACGCGACTCTCATAGCTCTCACTATCCTCCGATAGACTTCGCGTTACCTCGGGATACACTGGTTTCCCCACTCTCCTAATCGTAACAATGGAACTACTTCGACAATATATCATGCACTCTCAGCTTCATTCCACGACCACAACCGAACAGTACCCCTTGGAGAATGGCCACCGACAGTCGAGTTTCGGGACACTGGATGATATTAGGAGGAGAAGTTGTACGAGGCGCCGGGTTCTTGATCGTATGTGTATCTACGCCCAAGATCGTTGACTGGGTGACACTCATACAACCACCCGCAGACGATTTGACTTCGACTTCTGTCGCACACACCCGTTTTCTTGATCCTCTACTTCCCCGTTCGTGAGTGAACCCATATCTGATTCCATCTATGCTTAACTTAACATAGTGCTATAGTCGTCGTGAAGCTATGCCAAATACTCCATTCGCAACAACAAGTCATAGCCACTGCAACTGCATTCTTCCACATTTTTTGCCTGAAGCACTCGTCTTGTAAAACGGACCCTTAGCTCCCTCTCTCACTGGTTTGCTGTTGATGAATGCTGCGAGCCAAACGAATCCTCAAATTACACCAAGACCACCGTTACAGAATCCTGTATCATATCAAGTTGTCCATTGTCCCAGCTCAGGAAGCAGATGGCCAAATGGTGTCGGTGGTGGGGGGCGAATGGAGGAGTTATTGAAGGGCGGGACGGGTTCTGCTTCCCCTGTTTCTCGTCCTTCCACAAGTACGCCAAAGGTCCTCATCGAATCAGAATCCTCGCTCATTCGATCAAAGGCGTCTGCCTACGGTCATGTTTTTTCCTTCGTTGCTAAAACATGCGAGAACTGAGGACGAGCGATATCGTCTTCCGTCAACTGGAAGATCAACAGTCGGAGTGTTAGAAGCACGGAATGAGTAGGCGTAACGTCCAACGTAGTCGGAGGCTCTTGTGAGACTATATCGCGTTCTTGTAGGTCTTTGTATGATCTATGCTAGTCTATGGTTTACTACCATGGCTTGATCTCGTCAACCTGAACGTCGTTTGTTTTTTCAAAATCAAAATTGACCCAGCGTCCGTCCGAGTTTGGAGCTAAACCTCGACTAGATTGACATAGGTTGGCAGAGGAGCTATCCGCGTTGAAGTGAGTCCCTTCTTACCGACACGAATGTCGACTCGCTAACGCCAAGGTTCAGGCTCAGTAGAAACATGCAACCAGAGAATCTGCAACAGTGTCTGTGGGGAAAATTCCGAGCTCGGGTTCCATCTACTACGCGATTGACCAAATTTTAGAAGAGGCAAATCAATGCACAGAGTCTCAGTCGTCAAGCAAAGAGACGGAGGACATCCAGATTCCAAACGTGCATCGGCGATTGCTTTCCTGTTGCTTGGGCCAGCCTTTCAATATTCAATCCTCTAGCATTGCATCAGTCACTCCCAAATCTCCAGTGATTATTCGTCCATCTCGGGTAATACGTGCTTCTCGGCCTTGATTTCGAGTATTGTCTCATCGACTGGGCTGATCACCTCGAAGGAAGATTCCCAGCCAACTACAATGCACCTATGACGAACGAGAGCGATTCGGTCTTCTCAGACTCGTCCCCGGGGCGGGACCTTGATCTTCTCGTATCCATTCAACACAAGGAACTGACTGTCGACTCTTTGAATGTGAAAAACTTCTTATCGCAACATGGGTAAAGGGAACTCTATCATAGAGTTTCGAGAGTTAGCTCGTATTCGTTGATTCTGGCTGTCCTATCATGGAGCGCTGCAGACGGTAGTGGGATGTCGACGGTCGAGCCCACTATGCAAGTACCTCAATATCGTTCTCGACTTATTCCACACTCATTCCCACATAGTATAACAGCCGTTTGTGCGACTCACGAGACCCGTTGTTCATCAACATCAGAGCGAACTTGACATTGTAGTTGGCATATGCGATTTCATCTTGTTCGTTGATGCCAATAGATTCTCCGTCCGTCTTCTCATTCTCCGTCCTATGGAATCCCATCTTAGAAGCTTTGATGCCAATGTGATTTTTCCACCGGGTCACCTTATAATCCCCTAACTATTGATAACATACAGCAACCCATTCCGCCTTTTCACAAGTCATCATGGCAGACAGTCTTGGAATTAGTGAAGCCCAAATTCTGGGACTGTTCCTCGCCAGTGTGTTCTGGGGTATGCTGCTCATCACCTTTGTCCAGGTGATGAAATGCTTCCTTTGGGACACTGAACGTGGGGGCTTGAAATTTGCCTCGAAGATCAACTGGCCAATGCTCATCGTTGCCTTACTTTTGATGGCTCTCTCGACCTTTGACGTTTCCTTGGGTCTCATGCACTGCATCGAAGCTTTTATTCTCTACACTGGACCCGGTGGTTCGACTGCCAGATTCACAGGTTTAACGGACTGGGTGAATATCCTGAAAGTCAGTACTATGCCTTTTTGAACCCTTTTCCGAAATGTTCAACATACGACATTCCTTTCTCAGACGTGCAATATCGTATTCGGGAAAGTGATCAGCGACGGTGTTTTGGTCAGTATTTAAACAAGTCTGGTCTGTACCACGAATTGATTGTAGTCGTGAAACATACAGATCTATAGATGCTGGGCGGTTTGCAACTATAGCATCCTCGTCATTGTTTTCCCGATACTCCTCTGGTTGGGATATCTGGGCTTAGGCATATTCGTCATATTTCTGGAGGCTAGCGCAGGAAATCCTAAAGTGATACTTACGGGAGGGATGTCCAAGATTACACCTAGTATCACTGCGGGCTGGACAATGTCATTAGTCAACAACATCATCACCACTGGTAAGCTTCTACTTTCAGCCTTTCGGTGTAAATTGAGTGTTTGCTTCCAGGAATCATTGTCTATCGGATACGACGCGTAGACAAGTCTAACGTGCTGTACGGTATCCAGGGACAGGAATCGACTATACAGGGTAACCACGGTCTCTTCGGTCGCAAAAACCGGAAACGAACGAGATTGCAAAACGTTATTCGAATCATCATTGAGTCGGGAATGATGTACACTACCATTGCTTTCATCACATTCATTACTTTTGTGGTTGGAAGTAGTTCTTTCTATGCAACTTCAGATGCGGTATGTATCATCTCTGGTCATCCATGAGCTGCTACTATCTGAGACTGAACCACTTGCTTTATGTTGCACAGGAGCTTCAAATTCTTTCAATTGCATTCAACCTCATCATCATTCGAATCAGTACTCGCCCTGGTTTGGATTCGAGTACCCAGAGTGCCAGTGCGCGATTTGCAACGCCACAAACATACCCCCTACGCAAATTCAGTTCTGCAATGAAGGGGACAGTTGATACTGATCCTGAGCTCGACTCCTCTGCTCAATACTTGTCCGAGGATCCAGTAACCGCTAAGCCCCCGCAGTCGTCATTCTTGGACGTCGAAACAGGAAACTAGGCAGTTGCACAGGAAAAGATGTATGTTGTTCAAGTATAATGGCTTGCTCCTCATGAAAGAATGTATTTATGATATTTATACTACTCAACCATATATACAATCATTTCTGCCAGTCATCCTCGATAAATCTTACACCATTTGTATGAGCATCCAGACCAGCGCTTCTCAAGGGGGTATAGCTCAATTGGGAGAGCAGCAGACTGAAGTCGCAAGGCACATCTGAAGGTCCCGCGTTCGATCCGCGGTACCCCCAAGGTAGAGTTTCAGATTTTTGCTCGTTTGAAGGCTGAGATGAGCTGAAATGGTGTAAACGCATATCAGGTTTCAGGTAGTCCGTGTTGATAACGATACATTTCAAATCATAGTACATCGTACCCTTCGACCCTTGCGCTCAGTAGCTCATTTGTGAATCTCTACCCTGTGTCCGTGTCCGCGAACGTGAGGGATGGTAATCTACATCTACATTCTCCTCGTTTGTAACCATTACTTCGAGGGTCCTTTTCGATATAAGCTCATCTGGACCCGGACTTGTACCGTCCATCACAGACGTGAAAGTACGCAGAGGGAATGACGGACGATGCGGTCTACTTGTCTGCGCGCTATAGTTCTCTTCAGGTCGAGTGCTGATACGGATGATGATCAGGTTGAATGCTATTGAAAGAATTTGAAGTTCCTAATCATATCAGACGAAGTTAATGTTCTGACAGGATCAAGAGTGTGGGTGGAGTCCCTCACCGCATCCGAAGTTGCGTAGAAAGAGTTGCTGCCGGTCAGGAAGGTGATGAATGTTATCAGTGCGATCGCCGTATAGAGGAATCCTGATTCGATGATGACTCGCGTCACAATTTGCAACCTGGTCCTATGGCTGCTACGACTGAAGAAAGCTCGGCTACGGGAGGAGTCGCTCTGTATTGCGTAAACCGAGCTTTCCTTATCAACACGCCAGATGCGATACACGATCAACCCTACGAACATCAAAGCGATGAGCATGGACTTCCCGGTGTTCAGAAATATGACCGAATGACATACCGGTAGCCAATATGTTGTTAACAAGTGACAAAGTCCATCCGGATGTGATGCTAGGTGTGAGGTCCGACAAGCCTGGGCCGGTCAGCAGTACTCTAGGGTTGTTCGCGCTTGCCTCGAGATAGATGACGAAAATGGCGAGACCGAGGTAACCCAACCATAACAGAACTGGAAATGCAACGACGAGCCATCGTCTGTTGTACACCACCCAGCAGCGGTAAACCTATGTCATATTGCAATGAGTGTCATGTTTCTTCAATACGAAGAGACCCGAAGACTTTACAAGTACGCCGTCACTTATGAGCTTCCCAAACACCACATTACATGTCTATAGTAGCACAATGTGAGAAACCCAAAGATCGTACACGTAGCCTGATGGCGCGCACCTTGAGAATATTGACCCAATCCGTCAAGCCTGTAAATCGAGCGGCAGATCCCCCTGGCCCCGTATAAAATATGAAGGCTTCAATGTTATGCATCAATCCCAGTGCAACATCAAAGGTCGATAGTATAGCCAGCAGCACTGCGACGACAACCATTGGCCAATTGATTGTCGACACAGGCTTGAACACTCCTTTTGAGTCCCACAACAAGCAACGCACGCATTGAACGAATGTGATCAGGAACATTCCCCAGAAGACACTGGCGAGGAATAGGCCCAAAAGTTGAGCCTCACTGATTCCAAGAGCCATGCTGGATCTGATAGGTTCGATTGGAGTCGTACAAAGATAGACCGGTAGGTGGTAACAGAGATCAGCTTCTTAAATGATTCTCTCTGTTGTTTGACTGCTGTTCGACATTGCCGCATGATAAAGAAAAGCAATCATAAGTAGTAATGATATCTGTCCCCCTGACAGTCTAGAAGGAGAAAAGGTAACCTACTGAACTATTGGCCAATCAGTGCTGTTTCGTTCTTCGTGCTCTCGACTTGCTCCGATCTGACTATGACTCTTTCCACAAATCTTCGAGATGGTCCGCAAGCGAGAATGACTGATTTGCTGAAGCTAGCCCTAGCTAGCCTTGACCTTGTTGGAATGATTGACAAAATCACGGAAAATCCACTGATCCCGGATAATGGCAAGTACTAATAGTCGAAACTGCTGTCACTCGTTGAAGTAATCGTTGTTGTATAGAGATAGCGTACAAGCGTGAAACAAAGCGGTTGGACATCACAGATTGATGGAAAATAAACAAGCACGATCTGACGAACATTGATTCTTCGCGGGAGCGTGTACATAGAATCCTAGGATGTTGGTAAGGAATCAGAGAAAAGGCACCCGCGGCCGGAGATATTGTTGTGCTAACGAAATGGTTGAAGTTAATACCTTTGCTCTCTGTGTAACAGTACCATACGTCAGCCCGCAGAGAGATGAATACCGACGTGAAGTGACCTGACTCGAGCGTCGCAATGTTAGATCTCCGAGCTGTTCGAAGGTTTGAATTCTTGTTTTCGGTGAGCTACATTGCTGGATTAAGGAGGGTAGAGGGCGAGTCGCGTCCTGTACACACCAGCTGAACTTGATGACTACACTCGGGACTCCGGGAAGCTAAGACGTTTGAATTATGTAGTTTTGAACATCGTATGCTCTTTGTCTTTCGATCTTCAATCCAAGCGTGCAAGCAGCAAAACATGGAGGCCGACGGCAGAGATTCCGCACCGGGCTCGTTGAAGTATGGGCACAAACTTGACAATGGTGGGTTTGGTAGTGTTCTGGTCGGTTGTTGAACGTTGAACGTTGAACTTTCGCGTGATAGAACTCGAAGGAGATTCTATGTACGAGAGCATCTTGACATATCTGGCCGAAACTTTCGACATAGAATACAAAAACGGTGCACATCGAACGCCGGAAATAGCCAGTGAGCCACGGATGTCCTATGAAAACAAATATAATAAACCCTTTGCTGTGAATGCATGCAATATCTGGAACATATACATATCGCGTAACCTCGTGCACATCCTGCACCTCCGTAAGAACAGCTTATCGCACGTACAGCCTTCTTGCTTGCACACGGTTTTCTGCATTGACATTGTCAGTTTCCTGTTGATACGTTCGATACGCCTTTCGAATATGATCAGGGGAAGCGGGCCTGTTTCGCCTCGACGTGCTTGGACTTGACAATGTTATAGGGCACTACATGATACCTGAATGACGTACGCACCTCTTGTCACAATCTCTCCACAAATACTTTCGCAAAAGCAGCGAATATCCAAGCGCTGCTGGGATGCTTGCCGACCGATAACTTGCTGGATGCCTATGAAAGATAGCATTTATGTAAGAGATGGTAGTCAATGAACACAATCGAGGCAAGATACTTTTCGAACGGCTTCAAATCGGTCGCTGTTGATATGGGTTGAATTTTTGTTATGAAAAGTGAGGGTAGCACTGTCAGTTCTCAGTTCGTGGAATATAAAGCCATGGCGCACTTTATATTATCCTCTGAAAACTGAATGACTTCAAGTTCGTCATGTTAACTGTGCAGAGTTGATTGTCGTCCATCATAGCAGGCAGTAACTTGTTGTGTCCTTCTCCTTCGAGTTCATCCTATCCTCCCAAACCGGCAACCAGTGAATACGATCCAACCTCTCTGTGTCTACTCCAAGTTTCGATGATTTGAGCGAATTCCGAGTCGTAAGATTGAGGTCGCAAGATTGCTGTAGCTGCTGAGTGACGCGCAAGAATAGCTCTTGATAGCTCCGTAAGCTCATGGCTTCCTACATATACCCTCGTTTAGTCCCCCTGCCTCTAAGTCGACCAGGTCCTACATGGGGTGTTACAACGGAAGGTGCAGATGGTTCAGGACTTGGACGATGAGTGAAAGTGTACGGCTGTGTACGGTGTGTCTGGTAATTGCGAGTCGCAACGCACTCATTCCCTAGATGTCACAGAACAGGTTCCTTTTTCAAGAAAGAGATGGAGATGAGTGGAAGGACAAAAGGTTGAACGTTGATTGAATTTCTTGTTCTCCGCGAACAAACAAATCCACAATTGATCGTAATACTATTAGACGCCCGCTAAGTATGGCTGCTCACATTGGATTGGCTACGGTCCTCAGCGTGAATATCGTTCTCAATCTCTCCCGATTGTTGTAGTCGATATCAACAAATAAATAGTATGCATGGTAAAGTAGAGCTTTGGTACTGAAGGAAAGACTTCGCAATGCTACTCTTCGTACAAGGTATTCACCGTAGCACGGTGATGTGCTCGCGAAGCTTAATCCTAGTTGAGAGCAATTTTTAATGAGTCTGATTGAGTACTCTGAAAAGTATTTGAGTAGAAGATGAAGGGGAAAGGGCACAAAACTCACCCAGATGTGCCGGCACCTCTGAATCTTCCAATTTCTCTCAGTAAAATGCACAAAGCTCAAAATTTGGAAGAATCACATCATTCAAAAGTGTGTAGACTGGTTCGGGCACTTGAGGCGAGCATACTTCTGAGAGCATTAGGAAAAATATGAGGATTTGAATGCAGAAGCAGGCATATATCTCAAAACGAGCAAAATTCTATCGTTGCCCCGTTTTTGCCAAACAAGTACAAACTCAGACCACACTCTACGGTCCTTGGCACATGAACCCAGTTGCTTCGCTTCGCTTGCAACAAGTTGAGTCCCAGTGCTTCGAGCAACCTCGGATGTAATAAATACAGACTATGAGCGATATTAGGCCAGCAGGTCCAGGGAACAAATTTGTGATGAGGACTGACCGAAAAAAGATAGGCCTAGACATGGACATGTACAACCATGTACAACCAGTCAAAAGGGCACTTATGATGCAGTGCAATCATGTTCCGTATAAGGTGGTGGAGGTGATTCCGGACGTGTAGGTGCTTCCGGATGTGGATGTAATAGACATGGACATGGAGGTGATAGACACGGAGGTGATAGACGTTGCGGTATATCCAAGTGACCAGACATGGCGGCGATAGAGTGCCACCTAGGGGCGGGTATAGAGCCTGACCATGGCACACGAGGGTTCGCATACAGGTGTAGAAACTGTTCTAGCCAGCCCGCTTTCTCGTAAAGATATCCGCCTTCATCAAAGTGATTCAGCACTGCGGCACAGAAGTGAAAATTCGAGACGACCTCTTTGGTGCGTATGTAGAGCAGCAGTATGTTCAGTGTGTCGACATTGTGAAATGGCTGCAAAGCGCCAATCTGAATGAATTCGGTGGGTTGAGGGTCATTTATCAAAGGATCATCGGCTAAGGGAATGTTCGTTTCTATTCGGAA